CCCGCGGCCCGTCTCTTTGACACGCGGCCGCGAAAATCACTTCTCGCGGCCCCTTCTCCTTTCTTAGTTCGCAAAAGTGGAGCCGCCATGCCAATCGCCGCATGCAAAACCCCCTTTGCTCCCCGCCTTTCTCTGTTTGTGCGTGAAAGTGCGAAGGCGCGGGAGTGACGAACAGGACGGCCTGTGCCTGTGCACCTGCCGCCGGTGCAACGCGTCGGGCTGACCGGTCGGGGCAGCCGGCAGTCGGTCTTGTTGTCGTCGCCGCCGTGTGCACCGCGACGACGGCCTGCCCGCCTCGTCCTGGCCGCAGCAGCAGCAGCAGCAGCAGCAGCCGCAGCAGCCGCCGGGTCGGTGCTGCGCAGTCTGTTATTTGTAGAAATCACTTTCCTGTCTGTTAGCAGCGAGCGTCCCTCCGCCAGGGCGGCGTGCCATGCGGCCGGCGGCGGCTCGCTCGGGCGGCCCCCCGGCACATCATCTGCCGGCGGAGCGCTGCACACACGGGCATGGCGGCCCGCGCGGTAAATGGACCGATGGGCCGCCGGCCCGAATGTGAGACGTTTCACTCCTCGTGCGGCCGGGCCGGGGCGTTTAACCTTCTTCTTCCAACTGGAATAGGAGAGGTGAACTCTCTTTGCGGACAGTCATTAAAAACGGAAATGGCGCTACTACCACTGCATATGTATTAGCTAGCAGGTCACCCTGCACCTCAACGCCTGAGCTGTATCTAAATGGCATTTTCCTGGCTATTATTAAATAAGTGAAACCATGCGGGTAGCTCCACTGATATACCAACCAAGTGTGTGCATCCAGTAAACACTTCAAGTTCTGCAGCAGCAAGATTGTCCAACTTCGTGGATGAGCATTTGCAGTCTTCAGCTCAGTTTGAGCACCCGACCCGTGCTCTATGGAAACGAAAGTGTGTGAACGTCACACATTTGTAGGTGTATGAGTTCGTACACTTAAAGTAAAGATGTGAATTTTCCTTTGAAATTCACACACGTGCCTCTACTCTCTAAATGTCAAGGACAACTTTTGTAACTAACATTGGACATCTGTATGCATAACTGGGTACAGAGACAATATTATAATTTGCTACGCCAGATGCTAGTTACAATACTGTATCTGAGCTAGTTATGCATACAGAAGTCCGGAGCTAGTTACAAAAATTGTCCTCAGACATTTAAAGTGAACGTGTCCAAATGTTCTTCACGCACCAACAAGTGTACAACACTCACACACTTGAGTTTCAAAGTTCATTAGAACGCACATAGCCGGAGTTGAACAACTTTTTCGTTGCACGCTTACAAGTGCTGCACCACTCGGTGTATCAGCAGTGTTGCTGCCTGCTCGCTGCTGGACGGCGCACTTGTGCTGCCGTGCGTTTAGCTCTCCAGCCCGCCGCGGACCCCGTCCCTCCCGGCCGATGCTGGTGTGAATGTGACAGAGTCCCGTCATGAGGCTCTCCGCAGCCCGCAGCTGACGCGCGAGCGGCGGGGGTCACGACGAAAAACTACTGAGCTGTCAAGAAAACGGAATTGCTACGAGTCCGAGGCGGCACTCTGGCGGTCATGAAGTACACGGAGGCGCGGAGGTCGACAAGAAAAGAGAAGGGCAGCCGCTCTGTGCGCGCCAGTCGAATTTCTCATCCGCTCGGCTGCAGCTGCTGCAGCTGCAGGGCGCCGCGGGGCGGGCGCTCTTGAACCCCGCCTGAGAGCCGCCCCGTCAGCTCGCGCAGCCCGCGGAGGGCGGG